TTGAAGTGCCAATGGATTGCATATAGGTTGAAGAACCGACAACCGACGTGTAAGCAAATTTCTCGAACCTTGTACTGATAAGCTCAATGGAAGGTACCCTCCACCAAAATGAGCGATGATCATCTTTCTGGCATTTACCATAGTCACCTTTTACGACATCCACGGAGTGAGTGGAATGGGTTGAAATAACTAAGAGCCACACCACGGCCGCACCTTAACCTACGGCAATCGCATTCAGTGTTTCTCGTTGCTCACTCAGTATCTTAGTTTCGCAATCATTATTTACATTGCAATCTTAAAATTTTAACATTAATTATGGATGTAATTATTTTCCACTTTTTGCAGCCCGTTTGAGGTATTTTTATAGATAAATTGTAAGTAGGTCATTAAAATAATCGCAAAAATGATAAAATTTTACTTGATTGTGTGTGATTATCAGTCGGCAACAAATACCTTTTTTTCTGCTCGTTTAATAATTCCTCAAAATTTATACTATACAAACCTTACATAAGTATCTGAATGTAATTGGTACAAGATAGGCCGACCGAAATACTTAAATATTCTTTCTTTGATTCGTTTTGGGTCTCGTATAAAGTTGTTTTGGTCTGTTGTCGAACAAATGCTGCTGGCTTTATTTGAATACAAATTCGATAGTTCGTATCTCGGAGCGAGATGGAATCCGGGTAATAAAGTGAGCTCTCGTATGACCTTATGAAGGAGCAATCGTTTCCCACAGAACCACTAAGACGCTGTATTGATTTTTTTTTCGGATAAAAATGTATAGTTTATTTACGCCAGTATTTTTATTCGCCTAATAACTTACGTAAGTAAATACTATTAGCGTATAGTCTAAATTATAATTGAACCGCGTTGTGCAGAAATGATAAAACCCAATAAAACGTAGTTATTCATATTTGAAGAAGAGCATGTTTCTTGTGGCAGAAGCTGTATTATATTCTTATGCATACCATTTTAAAGAAAATTGAATATGGATTTTAGTTTGAATCATTTTTTATGCATAACACGGTTCAATTATAACGATAAGCATTCTCAGTGGACCTTTATAGGCTGTAATTGATGGATGGATTCATGGAAGGATATACACACGTATAACTAATAATCCTGTAATATAATTAATATTTACAAAATGCGACTGCAAACATTGTACTTGTATATAACAATATATCACAAATGTTAAATTAATTTCCGTTAAAATACATTCGAAACACTTATCGCTCGTAACGGTTGATGTTTTGTCGTATGTGGGATCTCAAGAGTTTCATTTCCGTTCATCCCTCAGTATACTGTGACGGGTAATCGTTATGTGTTCGTTTTCGCATTTTATAGCTTTGTTTGTGTACAGTGTACAGTTCCAGTTCCTATATAAAGGGTATAAATTGTAAAACGCGTAGTTAAAATAAACATGTTATATTACCTAAGAAAGAGTAAAATCTAATATTCCTTTACCCAAAAAATCTTATAGCTTCCGATAGGTAATGGGGTAACCATCTCGTGTAAGCAGTAAAACCGTAATGGACTTCAGTCCAAATTTCAGACACTTTGGCCAGTCTCGGCAGAGACTAGCCATCTGCGATTGACAGGAATATAGTCCTTCGGTGTGTTCACAAACACTAGTCCACTCTCTATTTCCTCATTTTCATAGTCCGATGGGTAGGTTTTTGTGCATTTTGAAACACAGGATTGGAACACCGCAACTTCCCGTCTACGGGCTGACATTGAGGATTTCTTCATCGAAAATCTAATAACTGACTTTGGCATAATCCAAGATTTTAATCGGGACCTCATGATTAGCAGCCGCACTTACGACCACTAAATCAACGAGACTGATGGAGGGCAGTGTTAAAAGTGCGAGACACGTTGTACTGTGATACTGTGATCATGTGGTATTGCGATCGCGAATTAACCCGCCAACCGTGGGATTATGGCAAATTTACACTATAATGGGAAAGGCTCATATCAAAGTGTCAACCTTTACGGATTGATGAAGAAAAATTCGACTTGCAATGGCGTAAACTGCGTAAAACCACAGAAAAGAAATAGTAGAAACAGGATCCCCGGGGCGGAATCTACAGTGAATTAGCAGTCTAAGAATATGCACTACCCCATACCGTCCCTTATTCCCTAGGGGCACTTACCTATTTTAAGAATACTATGATCTGGAAACTAATTTCTTAAAGAGTCTTAAATGCTTACTTAAATTTCTATATTTCCCATTTAAATAAGCAATTCAATATGTTTACTTAAGTTTTAAATAAACGCCGCCCAGCCCCCGGCAGCCCCGCTATTTCTGATTATGGTGGCGATAATGGTAACGGCGGGGCAGGAGTACTAAGAATCTCCGGTGGAGGTTTAGTTGCCACCTAAGATGACTCGACATACAACGCACGCACCCTGAGCACTGACGAGAAGATCCTGGAGCTGAAAAAAGAGATAGACAAGTTGCGCTGGGATATTATAGGATTGTCTGAGGTCCAAAGAGAGGGGGAGGACACGGTAATCCGGCAACTTGTTCTAAAACCGGGAGGACGACCATCTGTCCCAAGGAGACGTCAGATTTATCGTCCACAAGTCTCTTGTTAAGAACGTAGTATAGATTGTAAGTGTGTCAAAGAACGTTGCGTACCTGCTCAGAACTACCGAACGCTATTCGTTGAAGATCATACAGGTTTACGCACCAGCCTCGGATCACGAGGTGGAGGAAATGTATGAGGATATCTCTAAAGCCATTCATTCCTCTAATACACACTATACGGTGTTAATGGAAACGCTACGGTTCAACGCAAAACTAGGCACAATAGAGAACGGTGGGTTGAAGGTATTGAAATTCGGAATAAGGCAATGGAACCCAAGGGGCCAGCAGCTGGCCGACTTCAAGTAGAAAGAGGGACTATTTATGATGAATTCTTTCTTCCAGAAGCGGCCCTACAGAAAGTGCACCTGGTCGAGCCCCGACCGTTCGACGAAACATGAGGTTGACTTCATTTCGCAACTAGATGGCAAAGGTTCAGTGATCGCGAGGGAGAAAACTGGTATCACTGAATGATTAGAGGCACACTGAACCCAAATGTTAGGTTGTAGAGGTCTCGTCTAATAAAGTCAACGTTCCGTCCCCCTCGCAATCTAATCAAATGTTCCAAAACCTTTCAATTCGAGTTACAAAACCGTTTTAAGTACCTAGAAGACTGCAATGAAGTGGACGATATGAACGATAAGTTCGTGGAAACTGTCAATGCTGACGGAGCTAAGTTCTGTATCACCCGCCGCAGAAGAACACAAAAACTCTCCGATCACACTCCTAATCTCATGGCTGTTAGATGGAATATGAAGCTGCAATCTTCAACAGATTTGACAGCATAAAGGCAACTGAACCCCCGTACTCCGTGTAGTAGCGGGAAAGAATACTCACTACCCCATGTCTTCCCGCGGGTGTCGTAAGAGGCGACAGAGGGAAACTGAGGCAGAGGATGGGCAGCAGAATCTTTCTGATAATAGCAAAACAGCAAAAAAAAAACAACGGTTGCCAACCCACTCGCCAAGCGTGGAAACTATGGCAATATTCCCCCCATGAGAGTAACAAAGATACGGCCCCAAGTCCCCGGTGGCCCCGCTATTCCTAGCTACGGTGGCGACCATGGTAACGGCGGGGCACCGCTCCGATCACAGTCTTAATCTCATGGCTGTTAGACGGGATATGAAGCTACAGTCTTCAGTAGATTTGACAGAATGCAGGAAACTGAACAGACAGATTTCTAGATGCATGCGGCGGGATATATGCAACTTTAATACTGCTCGTATTGAAGAAGCGATCGAGCGGAACCAGGGCTCCAAAGTCTTTGTCAGAGATCTGTCTGCCAGAAAGAGCCAACTGTTGAAGCTGAAGACCGAGTGTGGCAGCGTCATTTCCGGGACACCTGAGATTTTGAGTGAGATTGAGAGGTTCTATTGGCAGCTGTACACGTAATCGTTGGAGCCACACGCAAGTGTGAGTAACGATCTTATAGCGAGTCTTATCCGATATTATTCCGATGGTATCCCGGACGTCAGTCTGAGCGAGATTAGACTGGCTCTCCAGCACCTTCAAAACGGCAAGGCCCCAGGCGAGGATGGAATTATAGCGGAGCTTCTGAAAGCGGGTGGAAACCTGGTACTTGAAGTCCTTCAGAAGCTCTTTAATTCCGTCCTCCTTGGTTGCATTACACCGGAGGCGTGGAACAGAAGTGCGGTGGTCTTGTTCTTCAAGAGAGGCAACAACGCTCTCTTGAAGAACTGCATACCGATTTCCCTTCTGAGCCGCGTCTACGTGCTGTTTTCGAGAGTCATTACGAATCGTCCCGCGTGCAGACTTGACGACTTTCAGTCTCCCGAACAAGCTGGTTTCCGAAAGGGCTTTAGCACCATAGACCACGTACATACCCTTCGGCAAAGTGTACAGAAGTTTGAGGAGTACAATTTGCCACTATGTCTGGCGTATGTGGACTATGAGAAAGCCTTTGATTCTGTCGAAATTTAGGCGGTGCTGTAGTCCCTTCAGCGGTGCCAAGTTGACTGTCGGTATATCGAAGTGTTGAAGTGCTTGTACAGTAGGGCTACGATGGCTATCCGAGTACAGAACCAGAGTACGAAACCTATCCAATTCCAGAGAGGTGTAAGATAGGGTGAAGTCATATCCACCCAGCCCTCGAGCGCGCCAGTCCAACAGGCCCCGAGTGGTCCGCGTTGGGCGCTGAAGCAGCTGGACCGGGAGCTCCTCCTGGAAGCCCCGATCGTGCAGGCCTGGGTGTCATCACCGGATAGGCCTGCCGACGTCAATGATGAGGCAGGGTGGTTCCAGGAGGCCATGTCCGAGATATGTGACGTGGCAATGCCCCGCGTCCGGCCAGGAAGCGCCCGGCGTCAGGTGTATTGGTCTCCGGCCTCAGCTCGTGGAAGACGTGGTGAGCGCTCTGTTTCCTGCGCGAGGGGAACATCCGCCCCCGCCTATGGCTCCGCCACCTGCGGTGCCGGAAGCGGACCACCAGGACGACGACGACGGCATTCCAGAAGGGACCGGGGTAGACCTGAGAGTGGCGGTACGTAGGCTCAAGGCCAGGAATACCGCCCCAGGACCCGATGGCTTGCCTGGCAAAGCCTGGGTCCTGGCCTCGGAGGCTCTCGGGCCCCGACTGGAGGGGCTCCTAAGCGCATGCTTGGAGAGAGGCCAATTCCCGCTTCGTTGGAAGACGGGGAAGCTGGTCCTCATTCGGAAGCCGGGGCGCCCTGCGGACTCTCCGTCCGCATACCGGCCCGTGGTGCTGCTCGACGAGGTGGGCAAGCTCTTTGAAAGAGTCATTGCAAACCGCCTCGCCGAGCACCTTGCGGGGACGGGGCCGGATCTTGCGGAACACCAGTTTGGTTTCCGCAAGAGGCGCTCTACGGTGGACGCCATCATGCGCGTGAGAGCCCTCACGACAGGGGATGCAGTGGCCAGGGGGGGGGTTGTTTTGGCGGTGTCTCTCGACATCGCCAACGCCTTCAACTCCATGCCCTGGAGCTGCATTAGGGAGGCACTCCGGTATCACCGGGTGCCGACCTATCTCCGTCGTATAGTCGGGGACTATCTGACGGATAGGGCCGTCATCTACCCCGGTCGCAACGGTGAGTGGAACCGGCGAGAGATGTCGTGCGGTGTCCCACAGGGTTCGGTTCTGGGGCCGCCCCTGTGGAACATCGGTTACGACTGGGTGCTGCGCGCCGACCTCCCTACCGGCGTCAGCGTAGTTTGCTACGCTGACGACACGCTGGTACTGGCACAAGGGGGGTCGTACGAGGCGGCGGCGAAAACTATGACACGCGGGGTTGCGATAGTCGTTGAGAGGATCCGGCAGCTGGGTCTTGAGGTGGCTCTGCACAAGTGCGAGGCCATGCACTTCCATGGTCCTCGGAACAGGCCACCACCGGGATCCTCAGCGATGGTAGGAGGGGTATCCATCGGCGTCGAGTCGACGTTGAAGTACCTAGGACTCGTCCTCGACGGCCGATGGAACTTCGTTGAGCACTTCCGACGTTTGGCTCCCAAACTGGAACGGACCGGGGCTGCCTTCAGGCGGCTCCTGCCGAAACTAGGGGGGCCAAACGCCTCCTGCCGGAGGCTCTACGCGGGGATTGTGCGGTCCATGGCCCTCTACGGGGCCTCGGTGTGGGCGCGTGGTTTGGCGCGGCTTGCCGTCCACCACCTGAACGCGCCCCAAAAGGTGCTTGCCGTGAGAATGGTTCGCGGCTACCGCACGATCTCCCGCGAGGCAGCGTGCCTCCTTGCTGGATTGCCGCCGTGGGATCTGGAGGCGATAGTCCTCGCGCGCCTGCACGAATGGCGCGCGGAGGCACTATGCCGGGGGGAAACACCGCTGCCGCGGCAAGTTGTCGTGCAGCGGACAGACTTCCGGCATGATCTCATGGCGACATGGAGAGAGCGACTGTTGCAACCCCGTGCTGGGCACGCCACTATAGCGGCGATAAGACCCCTCTTTGAGGAGTGGCTTGAGAGACGCCACGGCGTCCTCACCTTCCGCCTGACGCAGGTCCTCACCGGACACGGTGTGTTCGGGAGGTTCCTGCACCGAATCGGGCGGGAGGAAACGCCCGGGTGCTACCACTGCGAGGATCGACCGGAGGACACAGTGGAGCACACCGTGGAGGTGTGCCCTGCCTGGGCGGAGCACCGCCGTGTCCTCGTAGCGGTGATAGGCGGCGGCGACCTCTCGCGTCCGGCCCTGGTCGAAGCCATGGTCCGGAGCGAGACGGAATGGGATGCCGTCACCACCTTCTGCGAAGCAGTGATGCTAGCGAAGGAGGTGGCGGAGCGGGAGAAGGAGAGTGCAGCAGCTTTCCTTCCCGGCCGCCGCGGGAGACGCCCGGGGCGTCGGGGGCTACGTCGTGGCCCCCGGCCACCGTAGGCGCGGGCCTGTGGACGGCGAGCAATGGGTAGCTCGCCGTCCGTCCGTCTAACGACGACAGGCCGTGTCGACGGCGCGTTTTGTTCCACGCGCGCCTCAAGGAGCTGTCAGCAGCGTGAAGGGGCCCGCAAGGGCCGACGCCTGCCGGGGCTGCGGGCTGTTCGAAAGAGATACCGCGGCTCCGGAACGTAAGGGCACTGAAGGAACACGGATGGTTTTTAGTCAGTAAAAGTCCGACACTCCCTTCCGCTCCACCCAGAGCGAAAGGCGTCATTTGATGATTTTCCATCCGCAAAAAAAAAAAAAAGGGTGAAGTCATATCCCCGAAACTCTTCACCACTGCATTGGAAGACGTTTTAAAGCTTCTGGACTGGAAAGGATACGGTATCAACATCAATGGCAAGTACATCACTCACCTTCGATTTGTCGACGATATAGTTCTTATGGCAAAATCGCTGAAGGACCTAAGCACTTATATATATGAATAGGTCTTAAGATGAACATGGACAAAACAATGATCATGTTTAATGTCCATGTCACACTTATGCCAGCAGTTGTTGGGGGCACTAAGTTGGAAGTTGTTGACGAGTATATTTACCTGGGACAAATAGTCTGACTAGGTAAGTCCAACTTCGACCGAGAGGTCAATCGACGGATTCAACATGGTTGGGCAGCGTTCGGGAAATTACGGCACATCTTCTCGTCAGATATACCTCTAAGCTTGATAACGAGACTGTACAACTAGTGCGTGTTGCCAGTGATGACATGTGGAACTGAGACGTGGTCCTTTACTGCTGGCTGGATGAGGAAGCTCAAGGTCACTCAGCGAGCTATGGAGAGGGCTATGCTCGGAGTTTCTCTGCGTGATAAACTTAGAAATGAGGATATCCGCAGTAGAACCAGAGTGATCGACATAGCCCAACGGATTAGTAAGCTGAAGTGGCAGTGGGCCGGCTATATAGCTCGAAGAACCGACAACCGATGGGGAAAAAAGGTTCTCGAGTGGCAGCCTCGTACCGGCAGGCGAAGTGTAGGACGTCCCCCTATTAGATGGAGGGATGACCTGGTAAGATATGCAGGAAGTCGATGGATGCAGGTGGCTCAGGACCGTACTTTGTAGCATTCCTTGGGGGAGGCCTATGTTCAGCAGTGGACTTGTGAAGGGCTGTAATGATGATGATGATGATGATGCAACTGAACAGACACATTTCCAAATGATGGCGGCGGGACTTACGCAACTTCAATACAGCTCGTATTGAAGAAGCGAACGAGCGTAACCAAGGCTCCAAAGTCTTTGCCAGAGATCTGTCTGCGAGAAAGAGTTAACTGTCAAAGGTGAAGATCGAGTGTGGCAGCATCATTTCCGAGACACCTGAGATTTTGAGTAAGATTGAGAGGTTCTATGGGCAGCTGTACACATCATCGTTGTAGCCACACATAAGTATGAGTAACGATCATGCAGCGATAAGGCCATGTATACACTAAAATATATAATAATAATATATAATATAGCATCTTTATTTATGAACGGTATATTTTTTTAATTCAATCATTGACTTAAAAAATATACCGTTTTACTATTACGTAATTACGATGATTAATAAATTACAATTGCATAACAAATATTTATTTTTATATAAATTTCAAAATATCAAATAAATTAAATTATTAGATTAATTTACAAAACTCTCAACGGGTGAAGGCCTCCTCTATATTTTCCACGTCTGTCTGTCCTTTGCCTTTGTGATCCAATTTTCACCGGCTTTTCCTATTATTTAATCAACACATTTTTTCTCGGTCTACCTTTTTTCATTTTTTTTTGTTTGTTGGTCCTTGCCAGTTAGTTACTAGTTATTTCTATTTTTGTTTTAGAGAATGTTACAAAGCATTTATTATTTTTGTTGTTTTTCTTATGTCTGTGTCTCTTTTTCTGTGTTTTCTTTGTGTGTTTAGTATACTCCTTTCCATCGCTCTCTGACATACTAAAAGTATATAAAAAAAAGTATTTTTGGTGATAATTCGAATTATACTGCCTAAATTTCTGTAAATAATGTTACACAAGTTTTTTCTTAGCTAAAATTTTTAATAACATCAATAACAATAATGTCCTACGGACCTAATTCTGGCCACGGCGGCCAGGCTCAACGGAGATTAGATATATCTGCACATATTACTGTCTTTATTATAATGCCTCGTGCATTGTGCGTAAGAGGTCAGCAATCAGGTCGGTAATCGGACACGACTAGTGACACAAGCAAACTTTTACAGCCGTGAAACACCACCAACTTAGTGACTCTGCGCTGCTACTGAAAATTTCTTGTTAGAAAATTCATATAACTGACTTTGGCCCGACCCGGAATTTGAACCGAGGGCTTCATGATCAGCAGCCGTGTTTACGATCACTATTCCAATGAGACAGTGAAAAAGTTTTACACTGTGGTTAATAACAGACATAAGCTTACTTGCCTTATTTGAACTGATCTCATCGGATCAATATTTTTTTACGAGTACGATTTGTATTTGTGAAAAACGCTAATAATAATGCAATGATCTAAACGAATTTTCCGTTATCATTAAATATGCGGGTAGCGTAGCATCATAATATTCATGGACAATTAATTTATTGCCGAGTTTGTCTTAATTGTGTTATATTGTAAGCTATATAAAACTTGAACGAACTAAGAAAGTTCTGCTTTGTTATTTAAATTCCAATTATAAATGCTCGGCACTTGGAAATTATGTTAAGAAACAAATAACACCTTTTCTATTATATTTTGCAACACGGTTCTTTGAGAACAGTAGGTACTTATAAATTTGACTTCATGTGTTAGATAAGCTTTTCGTTTATTTTGTGTTAAAGTTATCAACTGACAGTGACCTGTCAGAACGTCATAATATAGGTTAGATAATTTCAAATGTTCAAGCTGATTATTTCAGTTTGTCTAAATTCTTATACATAAGGACTGCAAGGAGAGTTTTGCGTTAAATCCTGACAACTTCATTCGATAGATATAGGAAAAGTCAAGCTTTGTGGTATTTTATGGGAAGGCTTTTTCAGTGAACTTGTAAGGAATCTTAATGAGGAACTTTATTTTTATGATGATTTCATTCGTAAACATCAAAAGATTACGAAGGGCACTTATAAACTACTTGGAGTTTAATCTAATTAAAGTAAATAATGGCTGGTAAAGGTGGAATATCTGTAAAATACATAAAAACTACTAAGTACCGTTGGTTTAAAAAATAGAGTAATTTGTTGCTGGTTTGTTGAATTCCCAGAATATGCTCTTTATCGAAAGAAGACTTTTATCATCGAAATAAAAAAGCAAACACCCGGGCGCCCACCTGAAACTTCTTTCGTGGAAAATACAAATCTTTGCATTCTGTAACTTTTACGGTTTTTACTTACTTAAGGAAAATTTGATACCTCACAAACCTAATGGCTGGATTTATTTATTTATTTATTTCATAATTTACGTACACAAAAACAGTGGAAAGGACACAATATGATGAAGAGTTTGTACAAGGGCGCTACTTATCTCATTATGAAATTTCTTCCAGTAGGCCAGTTAAAAAGATATGTGATAAATAAAAGATAATAAGGTGTGCACTTTGTTATTATATACACATACATACATATATCCATACAAGATAAAATAAATACATACATATATATATACATATATATATATATATATATTATATATTATATATATATATATATATATATATATATATATATATAATATATATATAGATTATAATATATATATATATAAATAGTAAAAAGTATGGTAAATATCAAAGAATATTATATTATATATGGAAACTTACATAGAAGACAGAGATAAATAATGTTCTTTTACACGTTTTTTGAATAATGTGACTGTTTTGATTTCTCAAATAGGAGGAGGAAGTGAATTCCAGAGTCTTTCTGCATGTACAAAGAATAAACGGGAATATGAATGAGCTTTAAAGGATGGGAATTTTAAGAGGGTCTTAAGGTGAGATCTACAAGCCGCATCTGGAGATCTAAAAAAGGTAAATCGATTACGAAGGTATGAAGGGAAATTCAAACTACGTAAGATGTTAAAAAGAAGACAAAGGATATGAGTGTTCCTGCGAAATCGGATCGGGAGTCCAAAAATATACCGAATGCAAAGGTTTTGCAATCGCTCAAGTTTGTTTTGAAAATGGAATTCGTGCTGAAGATTTTGGATCAAATCCACATTCAAATGGTGAACATTTTTCTCGGTCTATAAATGATTTTTTTGATAGAATTATAGATAATAATATTATAATATTAGAAATAATAATAATTATAATTGATATAATTAATAATAAAGTAATTATTTATATTAAAATTAAATTAAGCTTTTTGATTGGAAATCAAATATACTAAATATATTATATAAATAATTTCCTCATCAGTAAATAGAAATGTAAAGGAATAATCATACTACATCAACAAAATGTCAATATCATGCTGCTGCTTCAAACCCAAAATGATGTTTATTAGAAAAATGATTATTTAGGTGACGAAATAAACATGTTATTAAAAAGATTGTTCCAATAATTACATGTAATCCATGAAATCCTGTTGCTATAAAAAAGGTTGATCCATAAATTCTATCTGCAATAGTAAAAGGTGCTTCAAAATATTCATATGCTTGAAGGATTGTGAAATAAATACCTAATATAATAGTAATAAATAATCTTTGTATAGTTTGAGAATAGTTATTTTCTATTAATGCATGATGAGCTCTAGTTACAGTTACACCTGATCTAATTAAAATAATAGTATTTAATAAAGGAATTTGAAAAGGATTAAATGGGTTAATATTTAATGGAGGTCATATAACTCCAATTTCAATATTAGGGGATAAACTTCTATGAAAAAGGCCCAAAAAAAAAGATAAAAAAAAAATACTTCTGAGATAATAAAAGGAATTATACCTCATCGTAATCCTTTTGAAACTAAAATAGTATGTTTACCTTGT